GGCCAGCCACTTCCACTTCGCTCGTGTAAAACAATTTGAGATGGGTGATTTATCCGAGTCTTGACATTGAGTTTCACGAAATGGTCGACGGTTGCTGAGTGAGCCCTGCCTGGATGGCACATATCGCTTGGGAGGGCTCATTCATCGACAAAATCAACATTCTTATGGGCCCTGCAGTGGCCCTGCATGTTTGGAGGGACTTGGTCCACTAAACCAAACGCTCTCGACTCCAAAGCGTTGCGCACGAAGCGTGTCTTTTTCTGGCGGTTTGCCGGTCTGGCCAGTGGACGGGTCTGGCTAGTCCAAACGGATCGTCCTCTGACGACGAACAACTCTTCACCGGTCATCACCGGGGTCAACGGCGAAATCTGTTGAGGTCAATTAGTCCCCAGCGAAGCACGGCCGAGAGGACAACAGCCGGACGGAACGTCCTGCATGAAGCTCACAACGGCCCTGTCGAGAGGGCCCAAAAATGTTTGAACCAAGTGGCCAACCCAAGTGGCTAACGGCCACAATGGTTCAGATAGGAGATCTGATCTCAGCTCCCATCAATTCTGGGTGCATTATGGTGCATTGACCTGGGCACTAGGGCACTCTAGCTCTGCCAAAGCAGCAAAGCAATGAGTGCATGACTTTCAGTCTTCGAAGAAAAGGTTTCTGGAGAGGGATCTGTCCTCGCTCGCGAGCCCGGGCACCCAGTTCCCTGGGTCTTTCTGTTTCGACACGGCGTTGCCTCAAATGGAATTGTGTCAAGCCAGCTGACTATCTCGGTGGCCACATCCCCCTTTGTTGTTGGAGAACCCTGTAAATGTCCACTGCGAACATCAGCGTCCCTACGGCCCTACAAGAACATATGGCTGCTTGGTGATTTATATGAACCATAATCACAAAAAGCTTGACCGTTCATCACCGTTCCCAACCAAGGACAAAACGAAAAAGAAGTCCAAACAACCACACACCTTTCCAGTCTTAGGGGTTTGCGGCGCCAACAAACCCGAGGCCAGCTCTACCCTCGCCTTAACAAACAACATTTGTGAGACACCCTGTCAATGAGGTGACCAATACTGCACAAACCTACAAGATTCACTAACCCTAGCAAATACATGGTATTGTTGGGTGTACCAGGGGTTGTCCATGCTTGTTTGATAGAAAGTAATGGTAATGGTATTAAAATGTATTAAATATTAAGTCATAAAATCGTACTCAGGGACTCAGGCGACGTAGATAGATAAAGGAAAAAGGATCTCCCTCCTCCCGCTCTGCAAAGACTGTCCTCCCACCTTTCCCAAGCGCTCAAACCCAAGCGCTGAAGAGTTTTCCTCACGAGGGGCGACGTGTCACAAGATGTTTAGAGTTGACAAAAGGCTTAGGTCGGCGATTTGACTGTCAAGCTTGCACTTATGCAAGTACTATATGTACTGCCAAAAAAAAAAATATATATATATATATAGGTAAGCAAATCATAGAAAACGTGTTGAATTCCGCGACCTAAAATATCCCAAAATGTTTGGGGAAGCTTCTTTGCTGCATTTGTGTGTCCTTCGATGAACTTTCCTGGTCCACGAACCGGGGTCACGCTCAGGGTCGCAGCCAAGTCACCGTCATCCTCCTCCTCCGCCGCGAAGGTGGATGCTTTGAGGCATGACTTTGGGGAGCGCCTCGGCCGTTTGCGTCGGCAATAAAGAATCGCTGATCATTGGATGAAGTTATGAAGCCACACAAACCCAGCTCTGTTGTCAGCATCAACTGACCAATCCTCTGTTCTTCAGCTCAGCTGCGGGGCGCTTTCCTCCTCACCTCCAGCACTCAGAGCCACCATGTGCAAACAACTGGGTGGGTTCTCATGGTGTTGATATGTGTTGATTCATACACCCGAGGTGTAGAGAGTGTTTTTTTATGAACAGTCAACATTGCAAGGGTGGATTCCAGAAACAGGCCCCGCTATCCACCAGACCTGTAGTTTTCCACTCAGAGTCTGCGTGTCTGAGGAGTCTGGGCGTGAAAAACCGGGTGTTCCCTCCTCCGGTCAAACGCTGCTCGCCCTGGCTGGGTTGTTTTGCTGTTTGAGGACTCATCACAGCTTTCTTACTGTCGGAGGCTCTGACCACCAGCAGTTCGGTGACCCATCATTTCACCTGAAGTCCCTTCTGATCCACAAGCAGTTGATGATTGGTGAACACCTCAGACCATCCCAGTGCCCCCAGTGCCTGACTGGCTTGAGCGGCTTGAGCCTGACTCGGCTGAGCCCTTGGAGGAAAAGCGGCCAAAGCGCTTGAAAGCCTCGTGGTGAAGAGTCTTTGAAGGCCATGAAATCCGCATATCCTAGCAGGTCTACTATGACTATAACCATATATATATATATACACAACATCTGGCAACATCTGAACCAAAGCTCCACCTTTGACCTCCAAATATCAAGATGGTTCTCTGTGTCTAGTCTGATGAATACCTGTTGCAAGCTTCACATGATGCATACACTTTGGTCAACATGGATACCCCGCCAGGCTTCTTTACCAGTTTCTAATGGTTGCTCACTGCAAAAACTACTCTGTCGCTGGAGCCAGCCACGCCATCCACTTTCGCCGGCTTGTTTCAGTCACCAGTGCCTGGCTGGAACTGGATTCGGCCGTGCTGATGCTGGCCATCGAGCTCTGCCGCCTAAACCAGCTTCGCTGTGATCGCTTGGCCTCAAGCATCCAGAAACCGAGCGCAAGTTTCACTATCCCAAATGTATGTCATATAACACATATATAACATATAATACATACGTACGTTCACCCCTTGAAACCACCCAAGTGTTGATTACATGGAGCGTCTGGCTAAGATGAGGAGCACTCTTTCAACACTTGCCTCAGCCAACGTGCCGACACATGGAGAAACAAAATCAGAAGTTGCCAAGCTCTTCGTCAGCTGATGTCAGTTGACCCAGTTATCTCCGGACATATCATCGGATGAAAGCTGGTAAACAACTGGCCCATCCCACCACTGAAAAAACGTAGTTTCTGGATGTTTCTGGCAAAAGAATGAATGCCTACCCATCCTCTATCATCCCCTGTCCTGTGGAAGGTCAAAAACCCACTGTTCTATTGCACACCCATACTAGTACCACCAACTTGAGAGGCATCAAACTTAGGTCTGGTCTCCATGCAACAACACACTGTAATGATCTTGCTAAAAGAAACTGTGAAATCTTGCTGGTCGAGCAGCTCCTGCTTGCACAAGCAGCTCAATCACTTCCTCATTTCCTGGAGACAGCGAAACAAGAAACTCATATATTACTCATGTTTGACTCATATGTTTCGCAGTATCTACTTCTACTCACGCAACCCTCAACCCATGAAGAGAGTGGCCTTGACATGGGTGATCCTTCTTTCGCCCATGCTTTTGGGGTACCTGACGACCCCAATGAACTCTGGAGCAGGTCTGTTTTCACCCGGCCCTTATGAAGCCGAGGGCTGGGAAAAGGAGGAACTCTGAAGCTGTCTCATCCCTGCTTTCACTGCTTGAGCAGTTCGCGCCGTTCTCGAAGTTCTCTGCACAAACCACCAGGTGATTCATCTGGAAACATGCATTTTCACTGATAGTCCCTACGTCACCAAGATCACAAGCTGCATGCAGCGGCAAATGGTGGAAAAACGGTTGCCCAGACAACCTCTGAGTCGAATTAAACTAATCAAACATCTGCCTTCAAGCTAGCTTATCTCAAGACTCAAGATTGTCTTATCCAAACCCTGGTTTCGACAGATGTCAACCTACTGATTCGACTCATTCGGAAACGGAACGCCTGCTTGTTCGGCCACCTGCATGGGCGTCGCCTCCTCAAAGCCTGGGCGCGTCGCAGGGTTTTGCCGGGACGCTCAGAACCTCACGCCTGCGCCCGTTATCTCTTTCTTACCAGGCAGGATGCAAAACTGCAGGGTTTGGTGGATGAAGAGGGTGGGTGGCATGTTCGCGACGAAGACCACCAAAATACAGCAAGCAAGGAGACTGAAGACTTTTCAGCCTCTACAAACAGCTTGGCAAGCTCTCATCCAGTGGTTGAGGGGAAAATCATTGAAAAAACATCGAAAAGAAACCATTCCCTCGTGGTCCAGCCATCCACAACCCCGTCTGACCGTGCTTCGACCGATGACGCGGACCAGGGGCGGATGAGGGAGCTCTCCGAGCTACGCGTGCGCGTTCCGTGGACATTCTCAAAGCTGTGCCGGCGCAGGAAGTCTTGGAGCTTGGCCTGCGCCTTCTCCTGGAGGTTTTTCCAGATTCATGAGCTGTTCGCCAGTGTGCAGTTGTGACATTCTGTGTGGGTTTGAAGAGTTTCTTGGGGTGCACATTTCTGGTGCACCCTAGCCTTAGTCGACCTGGAACAATAAGTTCCACGTCTATCATTAACAGCTTTGAGGGAGCTTTCCGTCCCGCGCGTTCCCATCTCCTTGGCCTCCGCGGAATCCGGGTCCACAAATTTCACCATGGCGCTTTCTCTTAGAAGACTTGAAAGAGCTTGGAGCCCGAGTTTGCTGCCGAGCAAACACGGTAAAGTGGAGAACACGAAGAAAGTCCAAACAAAGAAACACTCCAACTGAGTGGAGTGATGTCTTTGGCCGCAATCGGACCTTCGTGTCTTTTTTGGTCTTATCAGCAAGGTTGACGGGCGCAAAGCAGTGCAACCGCACGAATTTGTTCAACATGGATGTCAATGTATTATACTCGTACTTCTTGTTCGAGTTCTGGTTTCAGGCTCTGGCTTCCCTTTCTGCGTCTCCGCCAAAATTGCACCGGGACCCTCCATCATATCCTGGGAAGCAAAAAAATGACATGTTCGTTTCGGCCTCAGTGGACCATCTCCATTCTATGCCACCCCGCCGATGCAGACGCCGATATCTGCATCGGCGAAAATTGGAAGACCTAAGACCTACACCTCTACATTGACCAACCCACGATGTCTTCCATTCATTCCACGTCCGGTCCTCCACTCTCCAGACCCCGGACAAACCGCCACGCGCCTCCCGGCCCGCTCAGGAGCAACTTCTTGGGCGCCTCGTTCGGCCGAGGCCGCGGTGTCCCACCGTGATGGTACACGGAGGGTCACTAGCCCTGCCAGCCAAAGCTTCAAAAAGGTTGCAACTCGAACAGCTCAGGTCAAGGCGGTCAATTGGTGAGCCCTAAACCAATCGCTTTTGGTGGTTCAGGAGAGTCCAGGAGAAAGACCAAGTTAATGAGGATTTATATAATGAGGATGTTGTACAGAGATTGCTTGGTGTTCTCGATCAGACCCTAGACCGATATCTCCACCACATGTGCCGGCAGAATAATGAGTTCATGCCCACTCTTCAGCTTAGGCTTGGAACAAAGATCCCACCGACAACCATATCCCCCAAAGACTGGACCTCATCAAAGGAAGTTTAGTGTGCAAAACTTCCGTGTTACGGACATTCAACAGCTGTTCAGCCACCACTCATCATACACCACTCATCATACACCACTCATCATACACCACTCATCATACACCACTCATCATACACC